AAATTTGATTGGCTAACGATCGAAGTTCGTGATGTATGGAGAATTTGTATTTTGAAATGAGAATCAAATTCAAATAAAGATTTATTTTCTTGCAAGTGGTAATGTTTTCCCTTAGTATTTATTTTATAAAAGCAATAGAAAACTTTTTTCTCTGTGTTTACATAGCCTGATAGCAACACTCGGGGGGTTGGGAGAATTCTCGACAGTTATGCAAACCCTCGACTACGTCTCGGGTTTGTATAACTGTCTCGAATTCTTCCAACCTCCCCTCGTGTTGCTATCAGGCTATGTAAACACGGAAAAAGTTTTCTATTGCTTAATTATTCATATTAGTTTTGTTTATTGGGGTTCTATTAGTAGAATTAAAACAAAGATGGCCACCGCCCGAAGTTTTTCATTCATGAGAAAAAACCTGAAAAACTCTCCTTATTTTAGGTACTATAATTCATATTATTCTGCCTCTGTAAATATCTGATACTTCCTTGATATATTACCTCATTTCAGTTTGAAGGAAATTACGCGAGGTTTGAGTTTCTCGCGCGTAAAACAAATTGAATCAAAACTTGTCCCTGTTTTTCCAAAAATGTCAAATGTAGTTTCAAATGATTTCAAACTTTGGCTTTTAGTATATATATATTTGAAATATGCTAATTGTAGAATTTTTTCTGGCAGGAATTCTGGAGGATTTCAGCTTCTTTCAAGAGCTGCATTTTCTATAAGGGAAGGAAAGGTTTTTTCCAGCACTGATTCTACAAATGATGGCTTTTCTGGACCAGAAATGATGCATATGAAGGAAAGTAAGTCCAGCGATGACAAATAAAACATTTGATACTCAGAAGATATATTCTCACAGAATTTATATGGTTTTATTTACGCTTTTACTACCATTACTAGAATGGTCTAAGAAGCAGCAAATCTAACAGTATCTTACTTGTAAATTTATGCTGAAGTTGACGTGGGAAACGTCGAAACATGTCTATAAAAAGTGTCATTTCATTCTTTAAAGTACCATTACTAGAATACTTTGCTAATTGTCATCTGAAATTCCTGATGTTTTATTGCCTCAAGGAAACAAGGAAGTATGCAAAGAATTCTTGTAGTGGTAGTACATAAACATTTACACCTTTTGCCGTTCATTAACAGAAAATGTACATTCATTTGTGCCAATAGTTGTATCAATAACGTGTAATGTACTTTCATCAACACCACAAGTAACATCA